ATGCCCTTAACCGAAGTAGTAACAGAGGTCATATCAAAATCATCTGTGAAAGGGATGAATGCACCATCTGCCCTAACAAATGTCTCTGCACGAGTAATCAATTCCACATTTAGAAATATTACCAATGCAACAAGAAAAATAATAACTCTAACAAATTAAGAACCTTCAGGAGCAGAGCAGGTAACATGCAAGTGCGCAAAGAATAACTTTTCATCTATCTAAAAACATAGAAAGAAACAAAAATGAAGATTTCTAGCATGGGTTTCCCTTGCAGTTAGTTCTACTATAAGAGATCTAATCCATGATATGTTGTGGAGGCAGGATGAAAATATAATCACAAGACAACCTCATTTTTATCATTTGACTATATTTCATTTCATACAACACCTTATGGATCAATACAGTGGAATCTGATTAGTGAGATCTCGAATAAGTGTTTACATAACCTTCTTCTATCCGAGAAATGACAGATATGAATTGATGATGGAGAAAGGATTAGTATCACAAGACATATTTACCAAAGAACAAGGAGAGGCATCATAATCCACTATTCATTTAGCGAATTTCAATAATGATTTGTAGCATCAGAACATTCTTCCTTCCAACATAAATCAGGAAAGAAGGTAAGAAGAAACACTTAACCTGGATTTATGCCAGCAAATATGCCATACCAAAGGTCGTCTCTGATAAAAGATGTAGCTCTCTCCACTGAACCCAGATATACTCCAGGTCCAAGTGTTGGAGGTAAAGGATGAAACATTTTTTGATTTGGGTAATCTAAGTCAACAGCAACATGCCGGTTTGTTAGGAAACCAACTTGTCGATTGCCTGACAGGCTCCTCACAATAGCACCCAAGGTTCCATATGTCTCCTGGCTTGCTACCTAAATATTTCCAATAAAATGTGGTGAATTAACATGTACGATCAGAGTGATAACCTTAGGGAAGAAAGAATTGACAAGCCAAACAAGTAGTTTACATCTGATTTCTTCTGCAGACTCTTTAATTGTTTATCTTCCTAAGATGCAGTTAAAAACGACTGGAGATCTCAACAAAGAAGCTCAACTAACTTGTTGACAAACAAAACCTTTCCCCGAGTCCCTTTTTAATGTATTAACCTTTGCTAGAATGCAATTTAAAATGCTGGAGATTTCAAAGGAACTCAACTGATTTGATGACTAACCAATTTACTCAGAAGGGATGTGAGTCTAACCAAATAATGGAGAAAGGTGTCAAAAAGTGTCTTTGTGCACGTATAAAGTTTATGGGCTCTTAGACACATTACAGGAAATCATCATCCATTTCTTCCACCCTTTTCAAAATTATTAGATGCCTTTTAGTAATATAAGACTAACATAAGTTGTCCTTACTGCAAAGTTTTAGAAAAATATGGTAAGCATAAATCTAGTTCCAATACTGAATGATAAGCACTTCAGAAAAATAAAAATGTGCTCAGAAGCAAAGAAGCAGATGACTCCAAGGATCTGCCACACCCAAATAGTTGTTCTATGCAAGATGCTTAGAGTCGATCTACTAACAGGACTCATGAAAATAGCAATACTTACCATAAATTTGCCCAACCTGCGGGATTTGAAAATTAATTGATGCATTTTCTAGGACTCTACTTAGACTTCAACTATCATATGAACTCATCAAAACTCAATCAAAGCATCTTTAGAGTAAAAAGTTGTGATAAACATCAAACTACCTGAGATCCTGAACCAATATATGGGTCACTACCCCGCAGGTCATCGACTATCTCTGTGTACAACTGCTCCTTGGGTGTCGGCTCTGGTGCACCAAAATAGGAGAACTCGACCACATCCACTTCACACCACACACCTCCAGGACCCTGACGATAAGTAACATATTTAAGCATAGAGAAAACTAAGGAATAAATGAAGCAAGAATAACATTTCTTAGCAAGTATTGATTCTTTGGGCTCTAATAATAATTGAATTCACACAATTGAACAATCCCTATCGGGAAAAGTGACGGGGAGGAATACAGCACGAGAAGATAAAAGAAAATCAATGAAGTAAATTTCATCCTCTTTTGTTTTTATAAGGAAGTAAAAGTTTCATCATCTTTTTTTGTCCTAATTCAGGAAAATCTTTCGCGAGAGGGTGACAGAAATAGAATAAAAGATAATTAGGCATCCTTTTGATCACCTCTAAAGCAGTAGGTAGACACTGAATTGGACTAAGCCATTGTTTGTGAACTTTCCGGGATACAAACACTAGTATTGCTGGTATATCAGTCAAAACACCACGTCGAATACGAAAACCAATTGCTGTACCAAGACTGTAGCAACGCAAGAGTTTGCTATGAGATGCCCTTATAGTCATGAGGTCAAGTAAGGTTGTTGCTCGCTGCCCCTCGGGCAATCGGCCAAGAGTTTCTGGCAAAACCCCTTTCTGAAGATTCGCGAAATAGTTTGCTCTCTCTTCAGCAGCATCATTTAGCCGACTAGGCCAGGAGAAGTATGCAGCATTACTCTCAGAGTGTTGTCCAGCCGATGCATAAGGTTGAAGTGTTGGTGGACTAAGTGAAGGAAGATTAGAATAACTGCAACAGTATTTTTCAAGATCTAAGGCTGACTCCTCTGACGGTGTTGAACCTGAGCAACGGGTTCTTTTATTTAACCTTGCTCGATCCATATTTCTGCTCATAGTTGACAAACTTGTTATTCAAAGTCCAACAGGAAGAAAACCAAAAATTCACCCTAAAGTTTGACTTTCAAGGACAAGATCTTTGCTATCATAGAGGTATGCTCTAGCAATCTATGTCAAAACTGATAAAGGAACAACAGTGCTCGAACCACAGAGAACGGCCAATGCAACAATTTAGCATAAATTCCAATTTGTTTCACATGTTTCTTTAATTAAAGCTGCAACGTTAACTAAAAGATTTAACAATATCCAGTAAACTCAGTCTCAAAAATGAAAATGAAAGTCCGTACAGTCAAAACGCACGTATCTCCTGAATATAATATTGTTAACATCACCAAAGGGAAGACTGTAAAAAAGATCCAAATGATTAAAAGAAACTATAGCACTGCCGGCCGTGAGTAACTTTATTGTTCCAGTCCAATACAAGTCATGATAATATAGACTCTATAAAGTGAATAGTAAGCAATTTGAAAGCTATTTAGATCCGTCAAATGTGTTATGGCACCAGATAAACATGGCAAGATTTTTTTTCCTTTAGTTAGCCACAGCTTACAACAAGATTATCCATCACATCATTTATCTCAGCTACTTTAAAATCTGAAAGAATGAACCTCTTAAGATGATAAAACTGCCTCAACAATCAACACGGCATTAGGAAAACAGGTAGCTTTCTCAACAGAAATAGATAATAAGTTCAACAACAACCATAATCAATCAACAATATGTCAACAACTATACTTCAATCCCAAACTAGTTGAGGTCCAATATATCCTATTTCTCCAACAACCGAAATAAAAACAAAAAGTTCTCAGCCAAACATACATAACCAAGGAAAAGCAACAGAACCAGGAATAGGAAAAGTGAAAAGAAACACTTAAAGAGGAAAAACGGATAATAAATACAGTAATATTGAAGAAAAAGCACTTATTTTGATAAAGATTGGGCACAGTACAAATTCAGGGAACAAAATTAATGGGGTCCTGGAAAATTAAAAAAAAAACATGGGTGTGTGAAGATAGCTCTGCATGAAGAAGAGAAAGTGAAAAAAGGAAGATCAATCGCAATAGTGATGGATTCTTGGAGAGAAAAAAAAAAGATGAGTTTTTTTTACCTCACATAGGCAGCCTAAACTCGATATGAAATTGGGAAAGGAAAACAAAAGGCTGCAAACATAGTCAAACCCACGCTACGCCATGAGAGGCCCCAGTGTTAAGAGTATTATATTTTTCTCTTCACTACAAGTATTGGAGAGTGTGACAAATGCTATGTTGTCCATCGGCAACTTTGGAGAAATGGCGCGGGGTGGGTGGGGGGGTTAGGAGAGAGTATCATATGCGGGCCACTGAATAAATTGGACGGGTCGCCTTGTAACCCTTTTATGGGCCCAATTTGAATTTCAGGCCTCATAAGAACATTTTTCTTTTTTTTCGAGATAGATTCTATATTTTATTTTATTTTATTTTCATTTTTTTTAAAATGGGGAAGGGAAACATGTGAGAATCAAACTTTCACCAATAAAGTGAAGATTTAGTTAGTCAACCAATTAAGCTACTGAAATTTTTCATTACGCTTTCTTGTGCAATCAAATTCTAAAAGAGAGTCACATTTATATAATTAGTAAAAAAAAGAAAAAATTATCTTTAAGGATACTCTCTTATAAGAATGGTGTACATGTTGAAGAGCACTTTCCCCATTTAAGAAATCTTTACAAACGTTTAACTATTGCTTTTATTGCGTTAAGATGGACTCTCCTTTCCTTTTTTTCTTTTTGTGTTTTCATATGGTATTTGATATTTACTGATTTTTTAATTACATATTACCATGGCATAACATTTTTTACTTGTGATTTTTTTCATTCACTGGACTCGAGGAGGGATCATTTCAATCCATCTACATTCCTTAGTAGTGTATGTCCTTTCCTTAATTCAATACGTGTCACATTCATAATTTGAATTCTCACCGCATAAGCTCATTAGCTGGGAGATGTGCTCCATATCATAACTTTTCTCATTCGCAAGGCTAGGAATTATATTCATCCTATCACTACTCTTGGTGGTGGAATTTCCTTAAAACCAGTACTACAATCACAATTTACCAAACACAATGGAATTTATTGATTTATAATTCTTACATCGGATATCAACAACTTGAATAAAGAATGATGAAAATGCATATATAATAGCAAACTAAGATCCATCTCATTTTTTATGAGAAAGATAGTCACTCAACATTTATTAAGACTAATTACATGAAAAAATACTAGACTTGAAACATATTTTTGACTAGAGAAATGAAAACAAAAGGTAGAATAATAATGAAAATATTCACATTAATAAACAACATATAGATCAGCCAATTCCTCAAATGAATCAGAATTAAGGTTGTTGGGGTCAGCATTTTCAAGCAACCAAAGAAGATGATCAAAAAGAACAACCTCACACTTAACAGAAAGATGATCTTTTTCCCCATGCTTCTGCTTTGATTTCTCTATTAGAGCATTCAATAGTGGATGGCTCAAGTATTTTGATTTTATCACATATTTCCTTCTTGAGTTGCCAACAAGAATTGTCTCAAAATCTTCTTTATTATCTTGATGAGATTCCACATTCCAAAAATCTTCTCTTGTGGACTTTGACCTTAAACTACTATAAGATGAGCTTCTTCCTAGTTGGCTAGACAAAGTCTTACACTTCCTCAATAACAAATTCAGCTTCTTCATCTTCTCTTAATTTCTTCCTTCCTTCCTTCCTTCTTTGTTTCATTAATTAAAATACTTAAATATGCTATTGAGAAGATGAATATTGCTAGATGGAAAGGTGAATATGGTTGGAAGGTCATTGTTTCATGGTTCTAATTGGGGACCTAATTAAATTATTTCAAATGACAAAGACAAGCTATCCTTTAGTCTTTGTTTCAGATGGGGTCTCATGTGCTGTTTGCTCTATGTGTGTACTCATGATCAAGATTTTATTCATTGCGTCTTTGGAAGAAAGATAAGTATGGCCTACTATAATTAAGGTGATTAATGGTGAATAACAAGTTAGCTCTTTAACCAACTAGGAACTTGCCTAAGTCCTCTTGTATCTTTCCTCTACATATGCAATCATAGGCACACCATAAAATAATGTAAATCAAGAATAAACTTAATCCTTTTATGCCTGTTGAGTGTTGAGATGTCACTCTATTAATTCTTTTAGGGGTCGGTTGGTGTGAAAGATAAAAATAAATAGTGATAAGATAAAATTATTGTATCTTGTTTGATTGTCATGTTTAGGATAACTTATCCCACCATTTATATCATAGTAATGGGATAAGTTATTCCAGAATAGCTAACCCCACGATAACTTGTTCCCAACCCCTTATGGTCTATGACTTTCCGGGGAGGATAGCATAACTCAATAGCTTGAACCCAAGATCATGTATATGTATTATAAATTCATTAAATATATTAAAAAGATTAGAACTCAATTATTAGCAGGTATCTTTAAATCCAAAACTTCACATCATGAAACTTATCACGCCTTTTATGGTTTTATAGGCTACCACTGTTTTTTTTTCCAAACCTAAAGATAATCCCGCCTTCCCATTCCCCAAAAGAAATTATTTTTCTCTCTGAACATTTTCTGTGTTGTCAACTGTAATAGAGCTCGTATGCCAACGAAGATGAGATATTGTTTTAGTGGGCACCAACAGATCTTGGAATAGATTACATCTTAATTTTTTAACAATAAACAAGCACTAAAGTGCCCATGGATTGATAGAAGTACATTCAATTCACTGTACCCTTATGTTTTATTTTCTCTTTAACTGGATATTAATATTGTTAGTGCTTTCATGCGTACATTTCTCCAATATCTTTGTCGCTTCTATAAATCCATGTCGTTTTATTTTTTAAGTGTGTCACTATATGCATTATTTCCAAGGAATAGTACTAGATATTGTCTAGACCTTTTGTCCTTTATTTGGATCTCTTTTTTAAAATGCCAAAGCATTTGCTGATAAGGCAACCACTTGGACAAATAATAGACACACCAACAAAACGCAGTTTCTGCAATTGGTTCACTTGTACGAGAATCCTACCCAACAAAAACAAAATCCCGTCGATTAGGACAGAATTATTTCATAAGATACAATCATTTGTCGTGTTGTCTTAGTAGCTAGATAAACGAATCACTATGAGGGAATCAAACACGCCTACTATTTGTCTCATACATAATAAACTACAGATGAAGTTACATTCCACCTACAAAATGTCATTGTTATCTGATTATTGAACATATAATGACCAGATAATAAAAGAATAGGTACGCCTTACCTGCGCAGTGCTGGTAGAAGGGAAACAAAGACCCCTTCCATCTTAGCTTCCAAGCAAAACTACAACTGGCAATTTTTGTTCTTTTTTCGTTAGAAAAGCAAGTTGCCATAGTGCAAAAGAGCATATCAAATGGTGTTAAGAATTGACCACAGCAAAAACTAGACATTCCAATTGAAAATAGTAATAGACTAATAGTAACTGTGAAAACAGCAAGTCAAAGCAGGACGCCTTATACATTTATCCTTGTTTGGTCAAGCTGTCGAGATCTATTTATTTAATGCTCTCACACAAATGAAATCAAGAAGAAAAATGAGCAAAGAGAAGTTCCAAGTATCTCCAACTATGCAGCTAAGGTTTCAAGCTATAGAATTATATGAATGCGCAGACTGTTTGGACAATTCATAACCCATCAAACTGACAAAAGTTCTACTTTTGAATCTTCTTCTTTCCGTTTATTGCTAAAATCATATTGCAGTGCCCATCTAAGGCGTATGGGGAGGGTAATAAGGAGTGAAAGAATTACAATAATATTACACAAGTCGAAAGACCTATGGACATTGAATGTTACATGACGAGCCAAAATTGAGATTTCTAGCGGCTGAGTGAAAACCATAAATCTATCTCATCAGCACCAGTTGCAGTGCCTTAAATTCACAAACCTGGCTAGCTCATAAATCTTATGCTTCACCATAAAACCTCTCATAGCAAAATCTGCAGTCTCAGAAATCTGAATGGTTCAAAACAACCGTGAGCATCATAAAAATTCGTGAAATCTTCTTCACCAACTGTGTTTCAATTAGACATTGAACCGAAACAGCATTATATCCCCTTCTTGCACAACATAATCTTTCCCTTCTAACCTCAACTGCATACACAAAGATAAATCCTGTAACCAGCTTGATCTATTCTTTTGTTTGCAAGGATCAGTAGACTCTGTGCTAAAAAAGACGCACTATTTACATTCTATTACACAAGTAATTATCTTTATGAAAGAAAACTACATACTAGTAAAAGCTACATGAGATTAGCAGCCCCTTTACAATTTGGGGGTAGGGGAGGCAATCACGAGTCCTCGAGATATTTCAGGAAGCCAAGGAATATCTGAGGTACCTTTGACCCATGGGGGAATATCATATTTAGGTTCAGATATATCTGAAATTGAAAAGAAGGCTAGTTTTCAAATTTCAATCATACACTTGGTTCAGGTTGGTAGACTATCAATGGGTTATATACTGCTTTACTGTCTCAATCAAATACTACAAAGACATTTTATACAGTTCCCAACATCTGAGGTCAAAAATCAACAGAAGTAACAGTATCAAGAAACCATAAATGATCAGAAAGTGCCAACTTACCAGTCCTTTCTCCCTTGCAGCTGCAAAAGAACCAGCAGAAACAAAGTCATCATAAGCAACCTGCAAAGAAGTAAAGTTGACAAACCATTTAAAACTTAAAAAAAAGTTTTCATTTTAATAGGTAAAGGGAAACCCGTTCAAAATCTTATAGTGAAAAAACACTTGGCTAATAGCATACCAAGACAATAGAAATACACCTAGTTGACGAATCATTGGAACTGTTAAGGCTCATTTCTCCTAAAAATAACGAAGGATAACTACTATAGTTATACGTTTGCCATGGTTGAGTCTGTTCACAACAAGCTCATCCAGTCTTGGGTGTGCACATGAGGTTGGAAGGGGATGGTCAACTAAGCTGAAATGGTACCAACATCTAGTTTGTGGCAAGTTAAGCCTTCTTCTGAGCAAAACAACTCCAAGCACTCATAAGACAGTTCTATTAGTTCCACATAATCAGTGTGGTGAGTTTCTGGGCTACTTGAAATGAAAGACAAAAGATAACCACACAATTAAGCATTAAAAAGGGCAACATAATGGATCTAACCTTCAAATTCACAACCAAACAAACCAATCCTAAATCAATTGAGCTAAGATCCACCCTATTGAGGATTCATATATCCACTACTACTTGTCTGAATGGAGCTAACTGGATGCTGAGGTTTCATGTAAGCAGCCTAGTTAGTTTGGATTCACTCATATTTGTTGTTGGTTGAGCTAAGATCCACCCTATCAACAGCTACTATCTGAACATCTTTTAGGTATTATTTTATGCACAAACGAACCTAGCACCAAAATAACATTTAAACAGAATCTCTATGTCTGGAAAATAGGGTAAATGCAGACTCATGATTACAAGTTATAAGTTATAACCATGTTAGCAAATCTTACAGTTCCAGCCAAAAAATACACTCTATTCTTCATAGTCACTGATAATCACATATCACATAACAAAACAGTTTGATCAAACTCCACCTATCATGTGAAACCTTGCTTTGACTTGCTCTATCCATCTAAGGTGACTAAACACTGACAGATCAATCACATTAATTTGTATTCACAAAAGTACAAAGTTTCACTACTGTCAGCATATCTTCATCATCCATGATCTAACCAATGTGAAGCTCTAAGCTCTCAATCATTACATTCGCGATGTTTAGGATATATATGCATGCCTACGAAATTTTATCAGAAATATTGAGTATATGGTCGTCCTTTAAAACTAAAACAATGGACATGATGAAGTTCTTGGAAGTAACCAAAGCATAGTTTACTGTTTCTTATGACTTGCCCTATTTTTACATGATACTCACCGTCTCTGCCCTGATGAAGCCCTTTTCAAAGTCGGAGTGAATAACCCCAGCTGCTTGGGGAGCAGTCATTCCTATATAATCATAATGGTTAGACAAACATTTCAGGATAAAGGATGTGAAGGGTTAGATGCCACGTGGTCAGTCAAGAGCCAATCAAATACTAAAATCTGTACCCAGTTTAAGCAAAATACAAAAGAATTTTTATTCTTTTCTAGAAGCTCAAGTGACTCAGTTATAAGTTCCCAGTAAAGGAAAATTTTAGAGAACAGTTTTAGTCCCTCTATTTTTTAAGCACATAAAACTTTTTGTTTATTCTTGAAAATTGACCTAAACAACCATCCAGAATCTTTTTCTCGAGAAAATTGACCCACAATGAAGGAAAAGAAGAAGAAAGAAAAAAAAGAGATGGATCCGGAGAATAAAGATATTTTGCGATTTAAAGAAGAAATAGGGGAGAAAGTGGTGTGTCACTCTTTTCTTTTTTTTCTTTTTTCTACTTGGAGAATGGAGAAGACTATTGAGTTGGATCTGGTGCGGTGGGATGTACGGGGAACTATTGTGATTATTTTTTTATTATATATTTAATTTATTTACTAAGGCGGAGAGAACTAATCTGGAATCCAACTGGTTCTCAAACACGACCTTGGGCTCAGAAATATAACAACATGATCAGTAAAACAGCATCAGAAAAAAGAAAATGAACTAGGGAGAAGAAGAACTTCCATGTGGGGAGCTTGGAAGCGGAAAAAAGTGCTGCATATGGTTGTTTGCATGAGCTGCCAAAGGAGAGAAAAGGCAGCAGCCCGGAGAGGGAGAATAAGTGGGAAGGCTGCTGATTGGAGGGGAGAATGAATGTGCCTTGCAGAGACAATGTGAGAGGAGGGATAGAAAAC